GGCAGGGGCGGGCAACGAGGTTGGGTGGATACAGGCACAGTCGGTCGCAGGAGCATGAGGCCGAGGACGCCCAGCAAACACCAGGCGCTGTTCCCTGCAGGGTGCGGCTTTGCTGCCGGCGCTGTGTCACGGATACCCCAGCGCCGAATGCCTCGGATTGCAGGTCGGACAAGACCTATTCGTGCTGCGTTTGCTCACTCGTTCACAAAGTAGTCGAAATCCCCCACGAGGTCTTGGATCTGGCCCACGTCGTTCTTAAGGCCGACGGCCAGGCCCAGCCCGTGGGCCGTGGCGGCCAGCCACTTGTTATACGCCAGCTGGTCGGCGGCCGTCAGAGGGAAGCCGCTGGGGTTTGCAAAAGCGTCGACGTTCTGGGTCGAGGGGGTGTCGGGCCGAGAGCAGGGGCGTCGGCCGGTTGGCTAAAGGGGATTCATTCCCGGAGACTGTGGTGCTTACCAGCCCTCTGATCACAGTCACTCGGGCTGATAATTCCGACATCCTATGCAAGGACCCTGGATGGCTTCAGATGCAGGCCAAAATGCATAGCAGACGGCAATCCAACGCAGCATTGCGGACCGATGCCGGTCTGGCGCAGCACGTCGCGGGCGAGGATGCCGCCGCTCTGGCTTGGCTCCCGTGACAACCAGGTTGGCATGGCCCAGTGGTGCGTAAGCCCCCTTTTCGGCCATCCCTGAACCCCATCCCACAGCAGAGAGTCTTATGTCTCACATCAGGGTCTATGCCCACAAAGCCCTTTGCCTTGCACATCTTCATTCGCTGCACAGTCGGGGTGGAAGGCGGATGGATGCGGACCAGCAGCTTGTCAGGTGGAGGCAGGCGCGACCAGATTTCTGGCCTAGAGCACTCCTCTTGCGCGGTCAAACTATGATCTGCCTTCTGCTGATCGTGCTGGCACTTTGAGCGCATGAATAAGTGCACCAGCACGCATGCAGTATCTGCATGTGCATGTGCGCGTGCACACACACACACACACACACACACACACACACGCACACGCACGAACCAAAACATGCACACACGCCCACACGCACACACGCAGGAATACACACATACATGCACACACCAACGCTCACGCATGTGCGCGATTGCATGCCTGCATGCTCACATGCACACCAACACCCATACGCTCACCGCTGTCATGATCACTTTAACGTTTGCCGACCGCACATCAAGCCAGAACTCGCCGGCCCAGCCGCTCAGCTTGCTCCCGTAGTCACTGGCCTGGAACAACCCCTTGTCAGGCCGCTGGGTTGAGTTAATTTGATGGTTGCAGAAGTTTTCAAGATGTGATTTGGCCAATTCATGCGTTCGCGCGTAGGAAGATGCAAGTTCGTGTTGCAGATAGGTGCCTGCGGACGCGCCCTGCTGCTGCCCCTCCCTGTTCACTCCCCTGGCACCGCCACGCGACTCATCAAGTGTACACTCCGCTGCCGCGTCCCGAGTGTAATCCCAACGCCTTGGTGCCCGCTTGGCCACTAATATCTCATCCGCAGACGCCTCACCCAGTCCTCGTAGGATCCGGCGCTGAAGTAGCAGATTGGGAAGAACCCCTTTGACAAGATCACCGCCACGTCAGCGTTCGTGGCCTCGAAACCGTCGATCAGGTAAACCTGAGAGGAATCAGCGGAGGCAATGCGATGGAGTGACGCGCACGCTGCGGCTCTGATCTGATTGCCAGCCGGTGCGTGCCCGCGGCCCTGCTCTTGCAGGGTGGGCGCTGGCTGTGGCCGCAGCCGAGGGGGCCGTATCGCTCCGCGGCTAATGTGTTGCAGGCACGCCGGCATGCCCATGCACGCTACAACAGCAGCCTGCGCGGCGCAACTGCTTGGGCGGCTGGCACGCCGGGAAGCAGTGCGGCTGCAAACCCACTCAGCAGGTGGCGGCGGCTCGCGGCCAATCTCCGCGCCTCTGCGCCCGGGCCACGTGCTCGCGCCGCGCTGTCTCGCCTGCACGCCCGGGATGAAGTCCCTCTTGACATCAAACGCCATCTTCAGTTGGTACTGGAACTTGTAACCCAGGCGTGGCCGCCACCAGGTTGTCGCAGCTGCATCGACCACCTGGGCCGTGACCTGGCCCTGCAGCGACACAGCCACCAGGGCTGCAGCAGTCGCCCAGAGAGCCACGGTCATCATTATGACGGTCACTCAAGCTAGATGCGCCTCCAGGTCAGCTCCGAGCCGGTGCCTGCGTGCTTCCTCGTGAGAAAAATGCACACACCCGACCTTGGCTGGCCCGCTGCGTGGCTCATATAAACGATCAATAAATGCACTAATGTATACAAAAACGAAGCTGCCTGACAGGCAGTGCACGCGTTTCTTTTCGAAATGGCACCAGCGAGTGGTTCGGGCCGCGGAGAAGTGAGCGCGTGTCTTCCTGAGTGGCGGTGCACCCAGGACAACCCACTCATTCCCCTGAAAATTCCTTCTCATGGCCCCTAATACGCCAGACTTGTTGCACCGATGCTTTGGGCAGCCACCTGCAGGCGTGTCAAAGTGGAGTCGACTGCTCGATGCAGCACGCGCCCGGCAAACAGGGTCTCGTGTGCACACACCCCAGCAACAACTGTCTTGCATCGCATGCCTTGATAGCATCTTCACGGCAAATTACATATGCGTCAGAAGCCTGCAGCAAGCGCAACGCGCGGGGCACCCGTGCAAGATGGCAGGGAGCAGGGGCGGGAGCTCGCCGCCGGCCCCAGCCAGTGGACCAAAACGTGGGCCGCCGGCAAGCTTTGACCACGGCGGCTGATACTCCTTTTGCGGGCCTGTATTCGTCATGCGGGTCCTTCCGCAAAAAGGCGGCGGTGATGACGTCAGGGGCGTGAGGGAGGGCCGAGCTTGTTAAACACTCTCATGTGCTTCCTTGGCGCCAAAGCTGGGGCCGGCAGGACCGAGAACGACGAGCAGCCTTCAGCCAAGCAAGTAAAGCGAAAGCCTAGATTATGCGGTGCGGTGGTCGAGCAGTGGCGGCCCAAAAAATGTGTGCTGCTGTGCATCATAGACGGATGAGTCTGTGCGTCCACTTTATGCATGCGTGCTGCGCCATTGTGCGTGCACCTGCCCTCGCAGGGCGTTTCCACGCAAGCAGTCCAGCTTCAGCCATGCAGCAGGTTTGGAATTGCCGCAAATAGGGCGTGAGGCGTGCATGTCCAGTGTGTGGCCTAAGAGGGGCAAGGGAACCAACTGTCGCAACTCACACATCAGCAGCCCGGCGAGCACCACGGTGTCGGGTGTGCATGCATGCGCGCACTGGGTAAACATGCTTGCACGCATGGGAGGAAGCCATGAGTTTCATCATGTCAAGCGGATTTCAACTTGAAGCGCTGCATGTGCAGCAGCTGCGACGTTTTTGAGGCAGCAGTTATGGAGCCATGCTGTGTGCACGCTGTGCGGGCGCGCCGTCCCAAGCAAGGGACGCCCCCTGCAAGGACGCGATCCAGTGGTAGGCCAAAGCCAAAAGGGCCAGGCTTTTGTTTAGAGGTTGGGTCATTTGCTGCAAGGATCCGCGCGGACATTGTGCGCGCCTAGGAAGGTGCAGGTGTTGACCCCGGGCCAGGCAGGGCAATACAATGTTTGTAGTGCCGACTTCCGCAGCCTGTGACCTCAACCAGGCCTGAACATTGTGCCTGAAAGAGGCCTCGACCTGTTATGTGATATTGCTGAGAGACACCATTAGGAGATTAGTCACACGCACGCCCAAACGGCCCAAGCCCTCCGGCAAACCGCCTGTCGTTATTGCTGCAGCGCCGGCGCGGCGTCGCTGCAGGCCTTTGTTGGCCGCAAAACGGAAGGCTGCGCGGACAGCCGTGAGCCCGGCGCACTCTCAGCCCCTCCAAGACGGCCGACACTTGGCTGGGTTGCTGGCGCCAGGGCTGCAGGCCTTCCTGTACGCATCCAGCTTTGACCTCTGCCGCGCCACGCGGCGTGCGTGCGGGGGCAGGGCGGGGGCGCGGCAAAATAATGAGCAGGTCCGAGCGCAGGTGGGGGAAAAGAACCCGCACGCTGGCCAGAGCCCTGTCTCAAACATCCACCAACTAGCCCTTGGCACAACCAATTGCTTATGATTGCCTTTGCAAAGGCAATCATAAACAAGAAACCAACGCGGTCTCCAAGCCGAACTCCCAGCACAGCCCCAACCCCGGCCCTGCCTGCCACGCTGGCATGCGGCGCACCTTGCGGACTGTCTTGACGCCGTAGGCAGTCTCACACTTGCAGGCCTTCAGAAAGTCCCCAAGCCGCGTTTCGAGGTTCCACACGGGCTTGCCCAGCGCCACTGCCACTTGGTACTGGTCGCACGCCTTTGCCTGCTGGCATCCCCTGTGTATGGGAGATTGAGGTTCGCGGGACCGAGGATGTATGCAGGGTGCTGATTCGGCGATCGGGACAGAGCGACGCTGCTCCGCGAATACCGGACGCGCGTCGAGGCTGAGCATCCTTGCTGCTGCGGCCGCACCCCACTCACACGCTGGTGAAGAAGTCAAAGCTCGTTGCCAGGTCAGCGATCTGCCCCAGATCGGCTTTGAGGCCGGCCGCGAGCCCGAGGTCGTGCGTGGTGTTGGCCAGCCACTTGTTATACGCCAGCTGGTCGGCGGCGGTTAGCCCGAGGCCGTTGTTGGCGTCGTAGGCGTCCAAGTTGGAGAGGTCAACCCCCACGAAACCCTTGGACTTGCAGACCTCCAAGCGCTGCAGGGTTTGGGGCAATGGCAGGAGTGGCAGCTCTTCTGGCGTGTAGGGATCTTGGCAGGAGTGGTGCGCGTGTGATGGCGGCTCAAGCACGCCCGCCACACCTCTTCGGCCCGTCCTTGCATGCACGTGTGCCCGCGTTCAGGCATGAGGCACCCTGTCACATAAACGCATGTCCACCTCTCCGATCTGCATACCGCAGTGTCACGGGCCCACGCACCTTTCTACTGACGGCCTTGACGTTTTCTGACCTGATGTCAAGCCAAAACTCCCCAGCGCCGGATGCGGCCCCGCGATCAGCCGCCGTGAAGTCCCCGGCGTCAGGGCGCTGTGTGTGAGTGTGCGTACGTGCGAGCATGTGTGTGTGTGTGTGTGCGGGGGTGCGCACGCGCATGCGTGCGTGCGTGTGTGCACGCGTGCGTGCGTGTGTGCACGCGTGCGTGAGGAAGAACACCTAAAATGAGTCATCGCCAAGAGCTACCTAGGGGCTTGACCGTGACGGTCCGAACGTGCATATGGGCGCAGGGACGGCCGGCGACCGCGTCCCTTCCTCTCTCCGCCCGCTGCTGCAGGACAGTCCTGTTTGGCACCCTCCCCCCGCGCCCTGCAGCGCGCCCCTTGCTGAGGCTGGGGGGCACCCACCCAGGTCTCAAGTGTGCCAGCGCTGAGGTAACCGACGGCGTAACTTCCGGCGGATGCGATGGCAGCCACGGCCTCGGCGCTCGTATCCATGCAGTCCACGAAGTATACCTGACCGGGGGGTGGGGTGGGGGGGGTAAATTGGTTAGGATGGGATTAATGATGTCATGCGTGCGCGTTTGGGTACGGGTGAGTAGACGTTCAATTTCAATGCTGCGGCGGAGGAGGCAAGGCCGGAATGATCGGCTCCGCCACGTGGCAGAGGCCTGCAGCTGAGCGGGCGCCGGTTGGTTGCCATTGCCATCAGCAAGCCGGCCAGCCGGCCTGCTGGCATCGGCAGCCGGCCCATCGCCCGGCGAGCGCGGCCTGTATGGTGGCAGGCGGCTGCGACGGCCTTGGGCCCACCTGGACGCCCGAGAGCATGTGCTTCCCGGGGTCGAACGCCTGCCCGATTTGATACTGGAACGCCAGGTTGTCGGAGGCCTTTGGCTGCCATATGCTTGCAATGACGCGGCCGTCGCCGCCGCCGCCGCTCCCGCCACCGGTGCCGCTGCCGCCGCCGCCGCCGCCGCTGGTGCCATTGACTGGCGGGGGCTGCGGCTCCTCGCCTGCAGCGCACTCCTCTTTGTGCGAGTCCAAGGCCTTTGTCTGCGATCCGTGCAATGCATAAGGGGGTGCTCATTGATGCCCGGCGGCGGCGTCAACACACACTTGACTTGCTTGCGAGCTGCCCGCCGCGTGCGTCCCGGCACAGCGGCGCCGTACCGTGTCACGCCATTCACCTGACACGGCTGGAACCAGCACACTTGCAACCTGGCATTATCCATGTAGGGACAGCACCAATGCAGTGATGGCATCCCTCTGACAGCTGCCCAAAAAACAGCACTCTGCCGCCCACCTTTAGCAAGGTACGGATGCCGTACGTGGCCTGGTTGGCGCAGGCAGTCTTGAAGGCCGCCCTAACGTACTCGATGGTCCACACAGGCTTGTAGGCTGTGGGTGGTCACACAACATAGGGGTTTGTACCAGCAGGCGTTGAGTTCAGAACGACTAATGAAATGGACTGCACAAGGGCAATAATTGTGATGAATATCGCGATGCTTGTCTGTCAAAGGATCCACTAATGTTCAAGCTGGAAACCACAATGGGAGCATCGCATGCTGGCTGGTCAAAGGAGTCAGTCAAGGGCGGGGTTGCTTCACGTCGTCGGCACACGGCGGCGTGACAGCAAGGGCGGGCATGCAGGCTTGTTAAGCTCAGGCCCACCTAGCTTGGCTGGGAGGTACGCGCCGCACTCATTGAATACAACGCACTGCCTGCGGTGAAATTGAAGAAGACACCGGAGTTTGCGGCGCAGCGTCTCTAACAGCTGCGGCGGCAGCAGCCACGCAAACCCCAGTTGCTTTGCCGCCTGCTCACTCGTTCACAAAGAAGTCATAGTCCGAAACGAGATCTGGGATCAGATCGATGGCGTTCTTCAGGCCAATGGCTAGCCCAAGGTCATGGGCAGTGGCGGCCAGCCACTTGTTGTACGCCAGCTGGTCGGCGGCGGTGAGCCCGAGGCCGTTTGTGTTTGTGTAGCCGTCCGCGTTCTGCGTTTTGAGTCGACAGTGGTAATTGAGCGCGTCTCGTTGCGAGTGGGAAGTATTGTGTCTTTACTTGCGGAGCCAGGAAGTGGCGGGGTGCTGGGAGCCGCCCTGCAGAGGCGGGCGCGGCAGCGTGCCGCGCAGCAGCACCTGCTGATCACTCTGATGCAGGGGCCGCGCGAGGCCCCTCGTTTGCCGGCAGGCGGTCAGTGCGCCAGCCCGTCAGTCGGGCCTGGTTATTGTGCATTCAAGATCAGCAGGCGCAAGAGCATCACTCCAGCCTCGCTCTTTGCTCACATCAGGGTCCAGTCCCACAAACCCTTTGGCCTTGCAGTCCTGCATCCGCTGCAAGGCGGCAAAAGGGGTGACGGACGTATACATGCGGACGAGGGGCACAGTCAAACCAGGGTCAACGCCGTACCCCTTCGCGGCCACTGCGCCACGCGAGCGTCCCTGGCAGGGCCTGGAGCCGCCGCCAGCGGCGCCCCTGCGCCGCTGCATGCTGCGCCCAGTGATGCCACCGCCGGGGGCCCTCACCTGCCGCATGACTGCCCTCACGCCCTCCTGCCTGATGTCGACCCACCACTCGCCGGCCCATTCTGGCAGGCGCGCCCCCTTGTAAGGCGCGAGCGCCGCCGCATCGTCCCGCCACGCCTCGTAGGTCCCAGCGCTGCGGGGCGGCGGGTGGGGGCACTGAGGCGGCTGCGGCTCAACGGCGCGGAATGCACGCCTTTCCCCGGTCGGCTGGGCCAGCATCGCTGCGGCCACGCGCGCGGCCCGCCCGGAGCGGCGACCGGCATGTAACTGCGGGGGGGCCCGCGGTCGGGCGTCGCGCCTGCGTGGCCCCCGGCAGGGCGCGAGGAGCTCGCATGCGCCGCTTGGGGGATGTTAGGCGCTGAAGCAGGGGCCCGCGCGCGCGCGGGCTGCCGCCTGCCTGAAATAGCCGATGGGGTGAGCTCCCTGGGCCCTGATGGCGGCCACTGCGTCTGCCGGGGTGTCTGAGCAGTCTAGAAGGTACACCTGGCGGGGTCCGCGGGGGCGCGCGCGCGCCGCGGGTCGTCGATGGTTGGGGGCGCGTGGCGGCTGGGGGCCGCAGCATGCCACATCGCGTGCGCCGCCGTGGGGGCCGGCAGTCAGCACCATCTCGGCGAACCCGCTGAACCGCAGGACTGCAGGCTTGCTTCTTGGGATGGGACGCGCCCCCCCCCCCCTGCGGGGGCGCTGGTGTTCGCGTGGCGCGCGACAAGCAGTCGGTGGGAGTTCCCACGCGGACCCAGCGCGCGTGGCCGTCCCCCTGCGGACCTGGACGTTGGGGTCGAAATCTTTAGCAACGTCGAAGACCTTACTAAGCTGATACTCAAACTTCATCGTCATGTCTGGGATCCAGGCCGGCGCGGCGCGAACGGTGCTGCAGTGCTGCGCCGCCAGCGCCAGGGCCAACGCGAGAACCAGTGCCGGGGCGGGCCGTGACCAGCGTGCGCCGGACGATGGTGTCATGATTCAGATTCTCCTATATTGCCATCAAAGCTGCCTCGAGTGGCCTGCCGTCCACACCGTGCGCATTGACGGCCTCGGTGAGTTGTGACCCCGAGTCTGGTAATTCCCCATGTTTAGTCGCGCGGTGTCAATCTCTTGGTTTATATCAGCTGTATCGTAGTATCAAAGGGACCAGCGGCTCTACCTTGCCTGCTCCCTGGTGCGACCATGTCGGAACTTGACCTGGCCGTGAGGTGGCTGGTGCGAAGACGGGCTCGTGACAATTATCCTGCCTTCCCTGATCTGCAAACCCATTCGTTGTGTGCTTTGAGTACAACGAGGCATGTCACAGCTGGCGCCATGTGCCGCTTGACAGCCCAAGAGACAACGGTCCCGCGACTTGCCGGTGGATCGCTTGTGTATGGTGGGCGGCATTGCGCGATCCAGCCGGCCAGTCCCAGGTGCGTCGGTGCGCCCTTCCATAATGGTGCCGCACAACACGGTTGAGTGATGCAGCGGCAGCAGTGGCTCATGTCATCCCCGGTTGCCTGCGCACTGCCGAGCCCGGTGGGCCCGGGCCACGCTTGCGTTACATTTGTCTCACCCCTGCCTGCTTTGCATGTGCGCGCTGCTGCATGCCTAGTATCGCAAACTAGCTCTTGCTCAGCCAGACAGGCATTCTTGGTGCAAGCGCCGAGTTCATGCTCGGCCTCGTCCTCCAGGCATGCCCCGGCGCCGAGTCGCCTCCACAACTCCCCCGCCCCCCGCACTGCCCCCAAACAATCGTTGACCTGTTTAAGTCACCCGCCGGCTCTGAACCCAGCCACATTTGAGCCTCGGACGAAGTCTGGCACGGCACATCGCCCCCTCCCCCGCCGCGCCCAAACGCCGCTGGCGCGAACAGCAAGGGAGACCCCCTGAAAATTGCGAGGGGTGTCGTATACCGTTACACACCGAGTCGCGCTCGGGTCCGCCCAACGGCGCCCATATACAGCCAATAATTCTCCTTTTGTGGTGCAGCAGCCAGAGATAATTATGGGTGTCTGTGATAGGTACTGTGCGCGTGTGGCCGCACGCAGGGGCTGGTGACTGAAAAGTATGCACTTGGTGCAGTCTGTTTTGAAAAGCAGGCGATTCTGCTGCGGACCCGACTGCACCCCGTGGGGCCTAGGCGAACTTCCGCACAACCCCCTTGAAATGCATTAACAACAGCCGATGCTGTGTCCCCGCACACCCTGGGTTCGGCGTCGCCCGCGGCATTGGGTGCGGCGGCTATTTAGAGCTCGCGGCTGTGGGGCGGAAAGGGGAGGGGGGTAGGGCCGCTTGCGGTTGTGGCGGCTGCCACGCAACAAGTCGCGAGTTCGCACACGCACTCAGACGTGCGAGCGATCGGGGCAGCAGCGCCTGCGCTTTCGGACAGCGCGCTTGGCAGCCGCGCTCCGCCGGCCTGCAGAGACAAGGGCGGGGCGGCTGCGCGAACGCGAGGTACCGTGCGGCGGGCCCAGTGCCCGTGCCACCCGGGACGGGCGCCTCGGGCGCCGGCTGCTCTCGCGGTGTCAGTGCATTTCCATGGGGGTTGAGTAGAGCGCGAGGCGCGCTGAGTTCGCGCAGGCGCAGGCGTTGCTGTTGCGGCGAGCCATGCAAGGTGCGTGTCCCCGTCCCTTCCCAACCCAAACACGAAGCCCCACATGCAGGGGTGCGGCGCTGGAGCCCGTTGAAAATTGCGTGATGCAGCAACGTCGGATGCGAGGGCGGCGCGCCGTTCAGAGGCGCCGCGCGCCGCAACGCGGGGGGAGGGCGCGCAATGGGGCGATGTGCGGATTCAAGCGGGCGCATTGAGGCGCGTTGTTCGTGTGCAGCGGTGCGATCCCAACAGTGCATTGGATGGGCAGTCGTGTGCATTGCAGTCCAGAAATCCAGGAAATCAAGCAGAAAACATAATACAATGTGGCGGCGCAGAGGATATTGATGGGGCTGGCCCGCTTCCGAAGCTGTGGATTGATCCATGGGTGCGTAAGTGGGGGGCGGGCGTGCCGCGGCGGCCCCTTCGGCGAGCGCCGCGCAACCGGACCGGGACCCGGGCGGGGGCGCAGCCGGCGGCTGGCGGCCGCCGCGAGCGCAAGTCATCCCTTGGCTGGTAGTACGAAGTTCGGGGCAGAGCAGCCAAGAGACGGTACGCGGGCTGGACGTCCCACGCAACGAGTGTGCATTAATAATCCGACCCCGAGACGAGGGGTGAGCGCCGGCAGCGCGAGGGCCGACGCGTGCGCATCAACAAAGAGACGCCCCAGCGCGTGCGGCGCGCGGTCATCGGCGCATGGAAAGGCACGCTTCGGCCTACCCTGGTGTTGTGGTTTCCAGCAGTGGCGAGGAGAAAGGAGCCGGGGCGGGCGGGGGCGGCGTTTGCCGGGGCCCGCGCGGCGGGCCGGCTGCGGCCGAGGGCGCGTCCAAACAGTGGTTGCGAAGCGGTCTTGTGTATAAGCCGAAAGTGCTGGATCAACAGGCCGCCGTCGCCCGCCCGCCCGGCGCAAGGCGGCCAGCTTTCCGCGAGCTTCGAGACCGATGGGGGTCTTGGCGGCAAGGGGCGCGCGAGAAGCAGGCAAACGCCTGGCTGGGCGGGCGGCTATGCGTCCTGGGTGTGCCCTCCCAACCCAAGAAAGACAGGATCTCCATCTGTCCAGAGGCCGTCGCAGGCAAAAGGGGCAGTGCTCAGAAGCAGAGCCATGCTTTGGGACCGAGCCCAGCCGTGAAGTTCGAAACAAGGTGCTCCTTGGGGGGCCGCGTCGGGCCGTGCAACATGCGTTGGGGGTGCAGGCGGCGAGGGCCTGTGGCGCGTCTCGGTGCCGTGGGAGGAAGGGGTGTGTGCGTGTGTGTGCGCCGTTGTCGGCCGGTGCAGAGAGAATAAGGCATATACGTAGTAATACGTGAATTCTGGCAGATCACAGCTACTTTCTCAGACCTTGGATCAAAACCTTGCCGGATCATCCCGTCCCTTGCACGAGTGACGACACCAGTTGGCCCGCCAATTCGACGGCGAGGCAGGTGCCGCGCATGTGCAGGCAGAAGACGCCGGGCGCGAGCGCCTGCGCGGACACCTCGGCGCCGCTGGCACCCGAAATTTGCATCAGGTGGGGCGCGACCGCCTGCAGCTGCGCGGCCAGCAGTGGCACCTGCATGCTGTGCGTGCTGTGCGCGGCGCCCGCGCGCAGCGCGAGCGGGGGCGATGGCGCAGGCGGGTCGCGGACCTCCGGCAGAAACCAGAGCTGCTCCTGCTGCTGCTGCTGCTGTGTCGCCGCCGGCAGCGGCTCCCAGGGCGCGGCCGTGCCGAGTAGCACGGTGCCGCCCCTGCCAGCCGCCACGGCGCCGGGCGGCTGCCCGTTCGCGCCACGTGCGAATTCGAGGGAGAGGGGGGCTGGGTCGAGCGCGCCGCCAGCCAACTCAAAGGAAAGGCTGCTGCCGCCGGTGCAGGCTGTGAAGCCGCTCGAAGCGTAGCTGCTGGAGGCGCAGCCACTGGAATCATAGCTGCTCGAAGCGAGGCCGCTCGACGCACAAGTCTGCGCATGGAGGGCGATCATGTGGGGGCCGCGCTGCGTGTGCGTGGCCGCGCCCTGAAGCAAAGGCAGGTACGCGGTGGCGGCGCCCGACACCGCCAAGCCGACGAGCGGGCCGTGTGCAAGCACCTCGCCCCCGCTTGCTCCGCTGGCCGCGCTGCCGGCACCCGCGCCGAGCCCCCCCGGCGCGCCCTCTGCGCCGCCACGGCCGCCGCCGGCCGCGGGCCACGCCCCCGCGCCC